GGGAAAGCTTCCTGACAGTCCTGAGCCAGAGAATGGCCTCAGCTGTGGAATTGAGAGGGGATGGGTGACTTTTCACAAGATGCTTAAGGGGCAGATGGAGGTAGATAGATCTTCACCTCCACCTACTGGTTCTGGCATTCGGCTTCTTCCATAGTATCAGAAAAAGTCAGTTAATAGAATTTTTATTATTTAAAGGTTTTTTTTTCTCATAATAGAACACATGCTCTTTGCAAAAAATGTGAAAAATATAAAAAGTATAAAGAAAAAGTCAACTCTAATTCCACTACCCTGAGGGAAATCATTAACTATTATGTATTTATTCATAGATTTTTTTCTACTTGAATATCTGTAATATATATGTTTTCACATTATTGGAATTATTCTATACATACAGGTATTTTTTTCCCTCTGCTGTGGTTGAGTACTTACTTACAACCTCTATTTTTTGGGGATATTAAAAGAAGCCATATAAGCTTTATAAATGTTGTTTTTATTTTCTTGAAAATACAATTTTATTTTTTTGAGTTATTTTAGTTATAGTTTTTAGTCATAAATATAATCCCTGCACAAAGTAAAAAAAAAAAAACAGAATATTACACAATATGTAAAATAAAAATCTCTCTTCCCTATCCCTCATCCTCCAAACCCTTTCCCAAGGGAAGGACTTTTAACAAAAATTCTTGTTATATTCATTTTTTTAAATAATTTTATTTATTTATTTTTTCCCTCAAAGCCCCAGTAGATAGTTGTAGGTCATAGCTGCACATCCTTCTAGTTGCTGTATGTGGGACGCAGCCTCAGCATGGCCAGAGAAGAGGTGCGCCGGTGTGCGCCTGGGATCCGAACCCCGGCCGCCAGTAGCGGAGCGCGAGCACTTAACCGCTAAGCCACGGGGCCGGCCTGTATTCATTTTTTTTTTTTTTAATTTTTTGTTTATTGCAGTAACATTGGTTTATAACATTGTAAAAGTTTCAGGTGTACATCACTGTACTTCTATTTCTGCATAGATTACATCATGTTCACCACCAAAATATGTATTCATTTTAAATACTGTATATTTCCCCTTAAGGGAAAAATACAGTATTTAAAATGAGGACTTTCTCAAATCATTAAATATTCTTCAGAAAGATTATTTTCAGAGATCACGTGAAAGATTATTCACAGAGATCATATTGTATGCTATATATGTTTATAATATATTAATATTCTCCTATTTTTTGGTTATGTATGTTGCTTCCAATTATTTGTTCTTATAAATAATGCTACAATGTACATCCTTGTAAATTTCTGATTTCTTTGGAAATCATTGGATCAGTTGACAGAATTTTATAACATTCAGCTTTTTTGTAATAAAAAGCACTTTTTAAAAAAAGAAGATTCCCGGAGCCAGCCCCGTGGCGCAAGCGGTTAAGTGCGCACGCTCTGCTGCAGCAGCCTGGGGTTTGCCGTTTCGGATCCCGGTCCCGGGCGTGCACCGACGCACCGCTTGTCAAGCCGTGCTGTGGTGGCGTCCCATATAAAGTGGAGGAAGATGGGCATGGATGTTAGCCCAGGGCCAGTCTTCCTCAGCAAAAAGAGGAGGATTGGCAGATGTTAGCTCAGGGCTGATCTTCCTCACACACAAAAATAAAAAATTAAAAAAGTAAAAAAAGAAAAGAAGATTCCCATATACTCCCTGTCCACTGCCCACACCTACAGCCTCCTTCATTATTAATATTTGCACCAGGATGGTACATTTTCCATAATTCGTGAACCTACGTTAACACATCATTATCACCCACAGTCCATTGCTCATATTAGGGTTCACTCTTGGTGCGGCACATTCTATGGGTTTGGACAAATGTATAATGGCCTGTGTCCATCATTATAGTACCATACAGAATAGTTGCACTGCCCTAAAATACTCTGTGCTCTGCCTATTCATCTCTCCCTCTCCCCAACCGCTGGCACCCACTGATCCTTTTATTGTTTCTATAGTTTTGCCTTTTCCAGAATGTCAGGTTGTTGGAATCATAGACTATGCAGCCTTTTCAGATTGGCTTCTTTCACTTAGTGACATGCATTTAAGGTTCCTCCATGTCTTTTTCTGGCGTGATAGCTCATTTCTTTTTAGCACTAAATAATATTCCATTGTCTGTATCTACCACAGTTTGTCTACTCAACTACTGAAAGACATCTTGGTTGCTTCCAAGTTTTGGCAATTTTGAGTACAGCTGCTATAAACAACCATGTACAACTTTTTATGTGGACATAAGTTTTCAATTCATTTGGGTAATACTAAGGAGCATGATTGCTGGATCATATGATAAGAGTATGTTTAGTTTTGTAAGAAATTTTCCAAGTGTCTGTACCATTTTGCATTCCCAACAGCAACGAATGAGAGTTCCTGTTGCTCCACATTCTCACCAGCCTTGGGTGTTGTCAGTGTTCTGGATTTTGGCCATTCTAATAGCTGTATAGTGGTATCTCATTGTTTTAGTTTTCAATTCTCTAACGGCATATGATGTGGCACATCTTTTCATATGCTTATTTGCCATTATATAACTTTTTTTTTTGCTGAGGTGTCTATTCAAATCTGTTGCCCATTTTTAAAATGGGTCATTCATTTTCTTATTGTTGAAGAAGTTATTTTTGAAGATTCATTAAAGAGAACTCTAATACACCACATAAATCAAAATGCCCAACTCTTGAAGTTTCAGCATAGAAGATTAACGCTTGCAATTTGCAAAGCACTGATTATTTGATTACAAGGGCCTCAAGTGATTAATGTTGCAGCATTTTGAGACTATTGGCAAGACTATTGGATTAGCTTGCCTGCATGGAGTTTGCAGAGTAAGAAAAGAAGATTAAGAATCAAAAGCTAGAGAAACAGCATCTGAGAGATGAACCAAAGAGGAACCCGAATGCCTTAGAGGAAGTTGTCAGAAGGGTAGGAGAAGGACCTGGAAGATATAGGCCCAAGTCTACTTGAGAAAGTCTGAAGAAAGAGCAAGAGTCAGCATTGCCAGAAGCTTGAAAGAGGAGAAGTGAATGTGAACGGAGATGCTTCCTTTGATTTAATCAACTCAACAACTCTCCAGTCAAACCTACTTTTCATCCTGTATCCTGTATCTCAGTTGATGGTGCTCTCATCCATCCAACAAGGGACCCAAAGAGGGACACAACATCTAGGGTCCTTCCTCACCCTTTTTTCAGTATAGGAGGGTGTTACGGAACACCTCAGAGGAAATCCCCTACGTGCGATGGTAATGGTTTTCCTCTGTTCACCACTAAGTCCATTCTTCGCCTTTCTCTGCCTGGGTCTGTCTCAGGAGGCTGACTCATGTGGCTTGAATAATCCAGGCTCCCCTGCCGGCTAGTTTACTGTTGGGTTCAGAGACCGAATGGGAGGAGGAGATCAGAGGGAGGGAGGGAGAGGTCAGGGTGTTTATTCTTTGCTCCAGCACCAAGTTCTGGCAGTGGCCGCGTCCCGCCACCAGAGTAGCTCCTACCAGATGGCCCCTCCTGCACAGCTTCAGCTCATCCTGGGCTTGGTCAGGCCACTCCTCCTGCCGCCTTCTCAGGCCTAGAGTGGTAAAGGCTTCCCGCTGTTGCTAGTCTCCAGGTGCCTCAGTATCCCTTGTTGCTCCCTTAATTTGGCCCACAAGGCTTCATTGCATTCACTATAGTCTTTTCAGTTGAACTGAGTAAAACTGTGTTTCTTGCCAGACCCTGATTGAAACAGGGTCTAAGACCCCACATGATGTCCCTACTTAATCATTTTTCCTCCTTGTAGGAATCAGATAAGAGTAATAGCGTGTGAATATTGTCTACTGCTCTTAAGCAAATTATGCCAAGGCCTATACGCCTCTTCTAAGGAACAGCTGCCAGAATGGAGGACAATAGTTACATCTGCAGATTCCCTGGCGTATTAGTTTCCTAGGGCTGCATAACAAAGTACCACAAACTGGATGACTTAAACAACAGAAATTAATTTTCTCACAGTTGTGAAGGCTATAAGTTTGAAATCAAAGTGTCGACAGGGTTGGTTTCTTCTGAGGCCTTTCTCCTTGGCTTATAGATGGCCACCTTCTTTCTATGTCCCCACATGGTCTTTCATCTGTGCTCATCTGTGTCCTAATGGCCTCTTCTTATAAGGACACCAGTCATATTGGATTAGGGCCCACCCCAATGACTTCATTTTAACTTAATTACCTCTTAGAAAGACCTATCTCCAAATATAGTCATATTCTGAGGTACTGAGGGTTAGGACTTCAACATATGAATTTTGCAGGAACACAATTTAGCCCATAACACTGGTCAAATTTCAAAAGATATGTGTGTGTGTGTATATGTATATATTACACATGTGTATATAATGTTATATATATTATGTGTGTGTGTATCTATATATTTTTTTTAAGTGAAGAAAGTGGGAATGAGTGTTATACAGGCCCTTAATTTCTGCTCTCACCAAAACTACTTAAAAGAGCAAGAAAGTTCCCCAACTTGGAACAATGTCTGGTTCTCCCCAGGCACAACCACAGGCCACAGGCAAATGTGTCTTCCATCTACCCCCATTGCTAAGTGAGTTTTTAAGTTCTGGAGTTCGGAGGCTGTTCAGACAGGTAAGAAAAAAATATTTCCCCTTCAGGTTGAAGGCTGTGAAGACAATATCTGAACAATACTTGGTGTTGAAATCTTTATGGAATAAAGGGAGAGTGAAACTCTGTGATGAATCCCAGTCTCCTGGAATCCTTCAATTTTTATCTCATTTTGATCAAAAGAATCACAGTCTGGTCTTGCCCAGAAAGAGGAAGGGATTCCTAAGTATAGCAGGCCCTATATCAGAGACACTTCGCTAAAAGTAAGGAACCATTAGAAAGGGAGGGAGGAAGATATGAGAAGCATCTATCCTTGGCATGAGGCCTTGGATAGTTTAGAAGGGATAAAGTCTAGTGTACAAGTGACAGTTTAATCTCATTATTTCCACTTCCAGATGACATGATGAGACCAAGAGGAGTCAGGAAGACATGTTTTATTAGCTACTCTCTACATTTGAACTCTATGTCTCTCTCTCTCCCTTCCCCACCATTTCTCATCTCCTGCAGGGCACTGCATCCCCATGGAATCCTCTACGTAGTTCTCATGGTGGGACAACCAAAGGGTTGTCCACCTGGGCTGGTCCTGGGCACTCAGCAGAGCATTGTTCTTTTTTGGGGAAAGGCAGGACAACCAGCTTCTTTTCCACAGGCCACGCGATGAGGAAGGAGAGATCCAGGGTTTCTCCCTGGGGATTTGTGGTTAGATCCAGCTGCACAGGGAAAGCGGGACCCGCTTCCTGGGACTCTTTGGGCTTCTCATCATCCAACTCAGGGAGGTATTGGACAGATCCTTTAGACACAGCTTTGGAGGGTGAGTTGGTGGGAGCCATGTTTTTCTTCTGGGGCTCTTCCACCTCGGGGAGGTTTACAGATCTCTGGTTGGCAGCAGAGTTTTCACCTTTGGGGGTGGGATCCTGAAATAAGAATGCTTTCAAATAAGTGAATGTTCCCCAGGGAAATCCCTGCCATGCCTGGTAGCAGGCTAAGCTGTTCTGTGCCTTTCTTATGGAATGTTTCAAACGGAGGCCAACTAGAGAGATGGGCCTCTGGCTAACGGGTTACAAAGCAAAACAGATAAGGGCCGGGGGAACCAAGACCTGTAGAGGCTTGACTACAAGTCTCACAAATTCAGAGCTGAACAATGGTCCAGAGAGGTTAAATGGCTTGTTCAAAGTCCTCAGTGAGCTGTCTCCCTGCCCCCGCTGGTGGCAGCAGGTGGCAGAGCAGGACTTGAATGCAGGTGGCCTGTTTCAGCCACCCTCTCAACTATACCAGGCTGCCTCTTATATCAATACTTCTGGAAAGTGACTAAATATTTCCATGGAAAACCTTCTACCTAGGGTTCAGGGTAAGGTTTCTTTGGGACACTGAATTTAGCATCTAGAGAGTTGTTCTAAATGGGCTTTTGTTTTATTTTGCATGGCCATGCTCTGGTCTTTAGTCAGCCACCCAGTGGACCTGGACTTGGAGCAGCCTGCATAATGGAGAATATAAGACTTGGAGAGAAAAGAGGGAGAGTGCAGCAGGAGCAGCTAAACGATAAACCATATTTTTTTTTCCTGTACAGAAAACCCACCAAAAGAGATTGAAAAATACCTGTGGTTCAAAGATTTTGCAGGACACTGAGACAAACTTTTTTATGTTTCTGCTCAGAGAGCCTTCACAATGACCAACAGGCTGGAGTAAATAAAAAGTAAAAAAAACAAAAAACACAAAATGTCACATGATTATGGAGATTCTTCATGATTATAATAGGAAAACAAATTGCTTTCCAATTCTGTTGACTCACAATTTACCAATGTTTTTTTTGGATCCTTCAATGTTTCAGGTGGTCAAGGTAGTTGTCTTCTCTAGACACCCCCCCCCACCAAGTCATTATCTAGACCAGGCTCAAATACTTCTGGTGCTGGAAAACCCATTCCATCTTGGGAGAACTCTGATGTCTAGAAAATGCTTTGATGGTATTGCACTGAAATCCATCATTTTATAACACCTACCTCTTGTTCCTGATTCTACATGTGGTGCCATCAGAAAAATTGATTGATTTTTTTCCATAGTGGCCTTTTACATATTTGAAGACAGTTTTTTTATCCTGCCTGAATTTTCTTTTCTCCAGTTAAAACCATTTCCAGGTGTTTCAATTCTTCTTTATTTAAAAATAATAAATGTTCATTGTAGAAAATATAGAGATGTACACAGAAAAGAAAAAACCATCCATAACCGTACCACTCAATGATAGTTACCCTTAACATTTTTATTGATATTCTTTAAGTCTTTTTTCTAGGTATTTGTGTTTTTTCTTTTACAAAAATGGGATTATATTTTCAGATTGGCTTTTAAATCTTTTTTTCATTTAATACATTGTGAAAATATTTCCATGTCTTTAAATATTGTTCTATGATCTTATTTTTAAGTGCTAACATTCCACTGTATGAATGTACTGTACTTTAAACAATTCTTTTTTTCAACATTAGGTTGTTTTTATAATTATAAATGATTCTACAATGAACAAGCTTCTGATGCATCCTTGCTTGTTTCCACAGAATAAATTCCCAAGCATGGACTTGTTAGATCAGAGAATATATACATTTTCAAGTGTAACAGAATGTTAAATAGGACTTTTCCTGTTGTCTTAGAATTTTTTCTAAAACTCCAAATCTCAGGAAAACAGGTGATAAGTACTCTGTATTTAGAAGAGCTCCCATGGCCAAACAGGTCCTGCAGCCATCTCCCAGATGGTGTAAAAAGATTAGAAACCGCTTCTAGTGGGAAAGTTCATTGAAACATGGAATCCTTGCTGAACGGTGCTATAGCTTTTCCCTGCTTTACCCCAACACCAAGTCCAGGTGAGGTGCTCTAAGAGATTCCCCTGTAGAAATTCAGGATGCAGGCAAAAAACAGAGCCTGGCCACTCCCTCCCGGATGAGTCTTGTGCTCTGCTGAAACCAACAGGCCCACCCCGTACTGACACCAGAACCCAGCCCAGTGAGACAGTTTATGGGTGAGTTTGACATGTGTCCTCTGGAGTTTGGGAGCACATGTATCAATGGAGACTAATGCATTGTCTGTTTCTCTCTTAAAGAATTCTGAAGGTGAGTAACTGGCTGGAGCAGCCCACGACGGCAGGATGAAGAGAGCAGAATTGGGGCAGACTGTTCTCACTCTTGGGATAGAAAGATGTATAAGTGTTCCATGGGACAAGTGTTTTGGGTCCAAGGGGCAGCCTGCCATTCCAAGGTGCATATAAGAGCCTGTGGGGCAGGAACTGGTTGGTGGTGGGGAGGCCCAAGAGGCCAAGGAAGGACTTCCTGAAGGACCCACACCTATACCCCATTAGAGAGCCGGTACTGGGGACTGCCATATAGAAGGTGTCAATGAGATGCTAGTGTCGGCAGGAGTAGTTATATAAAAAAGACTTTGACCCTTTCTTTTAATCTCCTCTCTCCACATGAACCTGGAGGAGCCAAAGTTGAAGCAAGAGAGATTTTAGTTAGAGAGCAGGAAGGGGAGAAAGAAGGAATAAAGAGACCTTGATCTCTTTCCCACAGTGGGATCTGAGTCATAAATCAACCCTAAGCTAAAGTGAGGGTATTTGTGAATTGTATGTGAGATAGTTCTTTAGATTTAGACTTGACCGAACTTTTTAATACCTAAATGTGAATCTTAATTGCCTAAATCAGATTGGTCTTATAGCTGAAAGTGACCAGGAAACTATGAGACCTGACCAAGAAGTTATTAAGAAGTGGAGAAGGAAGATTCCACAGAGCAGGTTCAGAGGCTGTTTTTTGATGATTCCTAGAATGAGTTCAGAATACGCAACAAACCAGTTTTGTAAGGCTTTTTGTGATTATTGCCCAATTGCCTGCCAAAAGCTTGTGCCAATTTACACTCCCTGGAGGAATGTTCTAGATGGTTGAGGTCCCCTCACCATCTTGGCTACATGCCCATGAATGGGTGTCCATTTGATTTTGTCCTCCTTAAAGGGGTCCTATGGAATGGAACCACATGCTGTACTGCATCTGTTCAGATCAAAGCAGGGCACTACGTAAAGTCTCTCTATATTTTCATTGCCCTCCATGACCACATTTTACAGTTGCATCACACTGTTGACTAAAATTGATTTAGGCTCAAAATTGATTTAGAGTTAAATAAAAGTTAAGTGTTACATACCCTACTACTAATCCATCTCTTCTCTTTCCAGCACCTGAGCAACAGATTAAGTCCTGAACTTGAAAATGTTGTTTCACTCACCCCTCTTAGCTGGTGCAGTCTCACATTGCACACCATGCTGAACACTCCATTCAGACCAACCTTTGAAGTGTCAGTCTCTGCTAAGTTTTCCCCCTCCCACCTTTCAGTCATAAGGTCACATGGTATCAAAAACAACTTCTTAAGACAGTGGCACTGAAGCATCTTGATCTTTTCATGCAGAGTCCTCTTCACTGGGTGTGTCATGCACTGGATTCCTAGCAAAATACCCAGTGCATTCCTGCCTCAATTTACACTCTTTCTGCATCCTAGATTGCCCTCCTCTCTCCTTCCCCTAACCTTCCTTCAAGGTCCAGGTTAAGATCTACCTTCTCTTCCCTGACCAACACAGATTAGCTTAATTTCCTCCTCTCAAATCTTGTATTATTGGTTACTGCAATACCACGTATTTTGGTCTTTAGAAAATACTGTGGAGGTTGTCCATGGGCCTGACTCATGGCCAACCACACTTCAAGCTTCTTGAGGAAGCTTTACAGGAACTACCTGTTATGTAGTTGATGATCAACAAATATTAGTAGATGATCTATGACACATTTGTTGGACAAAGGAAGACATTCAGGAGTACTTACATCAGAGTCAGGGAGCTGAAGTGGGCATTTGCTGGCAGCAGACTCAGCCTGGGATTTGGTACATGGTGACTCTGTGATTAAATATTGCACAAAGTAGGCAGGGCCAAACACCCACTGGGATGAGACAAGAGTTGAGAAATAAAAATCAACCTACTTATGTGGGGGCAACAGAAACCCTACATGTCCAGAGTCATTGTCAACACGGTTCTTCTGTTGTCCCTGTAATCCCCACCATGATCAAACCATGTATTAGGATTTTGTTATTTAGAAAACATAATCACCATACCTTTCTTCCCTTCTTAAGGACTTGAATGGGTCCTAAACTCCTTCTCTTGGTTAGTTTTTTTCGTTACGTAGAATTGTTTTTTAGATTAGTTTTTCTCTATATAACAGATATCAACATCATCTAAATACAAATAAGCTTCCACTTCCTTTAACCCAAAAAACACAACATTTACTTAAGGCTTTAGCATGGAGTATAAGTTTGACTTACTAAGTAGTCTGTGGTCAATCAGATATGAAAAGGTAGCACTGAATAGTGACCCTAAGTAGAATTCTCCAAGGAGTCTATGAATCCATTTCCCTTCTTGCCTTAAGGCCAATGAAGTAAAATGGAGTCACACAACTTTGGTGGAAATTCCATGGAACAACTCAGAAACTGAAACATGATTGAATGTGCATCAGGTCTACCACAGTATAGAATGAAGAAAAGGCTCTTGGGCTGTAACCAAAAGCAGTGCCCTGATATTCTCTTCTCAGCTAAGGAATCAATAGCAGCAGTTATGAGAGACATTGTTGGTGTAACTGGGCATTTCAGCCTCACCTGGCTAGAAGCCTTGATGACTCTGACAAGAGAATACTGCTTCGAGGTGCTCTTGTTGTTGTATTCTGCAAGAGACTCAAGGGCAGCTTCCAAAACACTGGAATATGACAAGTCAACAGGGCCTGGGCAGTCGGGGCACATATTGGAAATCGCTCTTCGAGAAACTGTTGATGCCAAAGAGAGCAGTTCAAAAATAAACCCCTTATTGATTTTCAATCCTATAAATCATATGACCAAAACAGAGGCAGATTAAAAAAAAAAAAGATAAATACTCAGTTTCGATTGAGTATGGAGTGGATGGAGCGGAAAAGGTATTTTCTGGAGAGAAAGTTACTTTCTGCAATGAGCATGTATTACTTTCATAAGTAAAACAAAATCAAAGCAAGATTTTTTTCACCTCATACAAATTTATTGGCCCTAGGAATTTTGTTCAAAAACACGTAATAGTATATTTCCATAAATTTTTTTTTCCATTTAGCTCAATATCTTCCATCATCATTGCCTCTGTAAAGCAGATGGAGTATCTTAACAGGTCGGGATTTCATTATTGTCATGTCTTATTCACCTTTTAGTGCCCCATACCTGACAATGTCTAACGCATGGTAAGTGCTTAGTAAATGCTTGCTGAATGAATGAATGAGTAAACGCTTGTTGAATGACATATGAAAGGTGGAAGCACATCCTCTTTGGTTAGAAAATGCAAGTGAGCCAGAAAACAAAAATTGGGCAAATTGCTGTGTGTCTGGATAGAATAATCACACTAACGGTATGTAACCACGGGCCCTCTAGGACCAGTTCAACTGACTCCATCTTATCAACAGAGTAATTAAGAGTTGTGTTTCAGGAGCTGAGTCCCCCCTTGTCCATTTCAGACTGGTTGAGACCACGAACCCATCAACTGGGCCTATGCAAATGCTCAATAAGTGACCTTTTTGACATTGAGGATCTAAAAACTCCACCCTTAGATCATGGTAATGCCGCCATTTTGTGAACATGTGTCCTATGAAGAGCCATGAAGCTTGATTATGCTTGCACAGATCATCAATTACCTCACTTCTCCTTACCCCCAATCATCTATCTCCACACTTCAGACCGCCCTGCCCTTCATCCCATAAATTTTACCCCAAGCCCTGGATGAAGGAGACAGATCTGAGATCATATGACCCTGTCTGCTTGTAGATGGATCTAGCAATAAAGCTGATTTCTTTTCCCAAAAGTTGATGCCATAATAATCAGCTTTTTTTTTATGTGCACTGTGCAACAGAATTTGTTACCCCAATTTTGTGGGGTAACAGGTACAGCCAGAATTTGATTGGGAGGAGCCGGGGGTGGCAAAACTAATGTGAAAGCCAGGCTTGGGAACTTGTCTAGAAGTTGTTTTTGTAGAGCAAATGTATTGGTCTGATCAAGTGTGTGTTTATTTGGGTGTATTACGGAGGAGTTACATCCACGACTTGTCACTCCTGGCACCATCCCTACGTGTCGCTTCCTGACCTCCCATACCTCTGGGCCCTATGATTTCCATTTAAGTCTTGATCTGATTTATTTTTTGTTGTTCTCTAATTTATTTTAGGTGAGTCTTATCTTTACAACCAGGAAGCTTAAGCTATGGCTAATAAAATATTTGCTCTGTTGCCTTGTCCTTCAAAGGAACCAGCAGCATTGTTATCACCTGGAGCTTGTTAGAACTGCAGAATCTCAGGCCTTGCCCCAGAACTATAGAATCAGAATCTGCATTTGAACAAGATCCACCAGGGGAGTCACAGGCACATAATAGTTTGACGAGTAGCTATATCCTATTTTCCCATGCCATGGATGCTAGCTTTCCAAAGAAGGACCCAGAATGAACACATGTGCATTTATTCATTTATTCAACATTATTATGGACTTCTTACACATGATAGGAACTGGAGGAGGGGTGTAGCAGTGAGGAAGAAGGGATAATATGTTCTACATGATATAAGACACAAGACCCCAAATCAAGGCAGTGCATGTCTGTGCCCCATGAGTGGTTAAGCTGAAGTTTTATAGGAATGAGAACAGGAGAACACCATTCCTTTCTGGAATAGAGGACATGGCGGAAGAAGCAGCATTTGCAATGGTCCTTAAAGAATGGATGTGAGTTCCAAGGGCAGAGGTTATCAAGGGAGGGCATCCTCAGCAGAGGGAGAGGCAGGAGCAAGATGCAGAGAGTGGAAAGTGTGATGTGTCCTCAGAAAATAGTGAGGCATCCAGTTGAATGGAGTGCAGATATGGTGTAGTCAGAGAAATAATGGCAGAAATAGCTAGAAAGGGAGCCTGGCAACCAGTCATAGAGATTATGCCATTTAAGTCAGACTAAATATTTAGGATTTGATGCAGTACACAATGGCGAGCTATTGCAGGTGATTTAGGAAGATTAATTGTGGGAAGAGGAGCAGTGCAAGTATTGGATATGTCAAGAACATGGCTGTGGTATGAATAGGAAGTGAGGATGGGAGAATCTTATACACTCTGGGCATAGCCCTGTTTAATGCTTTTTTCCCATTTTTTTAATTAAAATTAACAAAATCAGAGTGCTCTCTTACCTGGGCGAAGAGTACAGTTATAAGCAGCTGTATAGAGAATTCTTTCTACCAAGTTAGTGTAATATATTGCTTTGCATTGACCATAAACCTGGAACCAACAAACACATTTTATGACATGGTGGAACAAACTCTGACTTTTTAAAATATCCCCCAAAATAAAATTGGACATTTTATTTTTAAATAATAAAAAACTTAAGGTCAATTTTGGTTACTGTGGATATGAGAAACTAGCAGCTGATCATCAAACAGTCTAACCTTTTCCTGGGACACAGCTGGACTACATTTTCCAGCCTCCTTCCCAGGTAGATGTGATGTGAATAACTGAGTTCTAACTACAGGAAGGTGAGCAGAAGTGATTGTAATTATTTCCAGGTCTGGCCCACGAAGATCTCCCACGTGCGACCTGTCCTCTATGCTTTTTATCTTTCCATAGCTTGATGCAGATGAGTATGGTGACCATAGACGCCATGAGTTGAAGGTGGCAGAGTCTAGAGCCACAACATGGAAGGAACCTGGGTCTCCAAGTGACTCCTGGAGGAAAGCCCCCTCTTGATCAGGAATTTCTATTTTAAATTTTACATGAGTGAGAAATAAACTTCTATCTTGGACTCAGTATACCCTTTTCAGTGTATGTGTTATAGAAGCTAGTGTCACCTTTACAAATATAATTCACAACACGGTAAATAGACTATTTGCTTTTCAAAATCAGGTAGGTGCAGTTTGATGAGTCTGGTTAAATGATTAGAGAAAGATGTCTTGGTCAAATAGTTTACTTCTAAACACATATCACTGTACTAGACTTATAAAGTTTCATATCAGTCAAGGGAAATATTCCCCAAATAACTAAGAATCAAATGAAAACTGATGATATTAGTTTTAATCATCTTCTATGGTTATCTTTAAAGGATAATTTCTGAGGCCCTTAAGGTTCTATGTTTCAAGGAAAGTATTTCTCTTTCCATGACACACTTAAAATCTCTCATACTGTAACTTGTTCCCTCCAGCCTCATTAAAACAAAACAGTAAAAACAAAAAGCACTTCCTTCCCTTGCTTATACAGTCTACTTTAAACGTACATACAGAGTTCTTCACCTTCAATTCCTTTCTCACAATTTAAACACTGATATAAGCCTGCAGAAGAATCTGGGAGGTGGAAAACTGGACTCATCACACAGTTTTTGAGTAACTTTGCAGTTCTGGTCTCCATGACCACAATGATACTTCTGGAAACCCATCTGACATGTGAAACTTTGTTCTGTCTATAACATTAAAATAACCACATGGGTACCATGCCCAAGAGACTATAAAGAGAGACATTTAAAGATGGCGCACATTGAACAATCTGTACCCTGTAGACAGAGTACATCTAGTTTCTCCCCTGGAACCCCTGGAAAAAAGCACTTACTGATTCATGCAGCGTCCTCTCACCACAGTCCTTCCATGCCTTCTTGCTGAGCACATGGCAGTCAGTCTCTAACACATCCAGAGTGAGATAGAACACTGAACCATGACCACTCTGTGGGAAGGAGTAGAGAAATGCATCACATCCCACATGAAGCAGAAACCCCTAAAGACTGGCTGAAAAAGGCTCTGTTTTACGGCACAGCCAAAAGCTATCATGTTTGTGAAGATTCCTTACAAACTGTGGAACACTCGACAAGTGTCAGAGTAGGATACTACTAGCACTTGTTCCTAATAACAATAAGAGCATGTAGCACACCCTGACAGAGCAAAGCAGTGCGGTCTTGGCAGGGTTTCCAATTTGGAGAGCACCTGCCAACAAGTGTCTCTGGACTCCCAACCCCTGGCTTCCACAGCTTGTGCAAACACCTGCCCAAGAGGGGACTGTCACTTGCCTGTTTGTGTTGGTAGACATCATTCACTCGGTTGAGACTCAGCACAAAGCCTTTTCTCCGGTCCTTGTTGATGTCCTGCAGGGCGAAGTCCGAGAATTTCAGCACATCTGAGTCATTGCAGCCGCGGGAGAGGAGAGGCGAGGGGTTGTGGGCCTGCTGGGGTAGAGATGCAGCCCTGTAGCACGCGGCCAGGGCGCAGAGCGCCAAGGGAAGGAGCAGACCCATTCTGTGGGGAACAGGCCCAGGATGGGTCAGTATGTGGAGCTGCAGGGTCAGGGTTGCTTATAGGGCTCTGTAAGGCCAACGTGAGCAGTTTCATAATCACAATCTGAACCAGTGACCAGAATTTGAAACGTGAAATCTCATCTTACCTCAAATTCTAAATGTGGATTTTTCTGAGTCAGTACTTTCGACGGTATTTGTCAACGTTTCTAAACTTAGACCCTGAGTAATCTCACATTCATGGTACTTGTAAACAAATTTAGGTTTCCTAAACTTTTCCTAAGAACTCATAACAAACACTTGGGTCAAGGTTCCTAGGAGATCATGATTGAATTTTGGTTTGTGTCCATGGCTCCACCGGAAGCAGAATATGGAGGACTGTCATGTCTCCATCTCCCCTAGAACCTTCCCTTCAGCTGATATCCTCAGCCACCCTTGGAGCCTGGGGTACAGTCCCAATGGTGCTCAGTGAGTTCAGACTTCCTGCCTGACCTCCTGTGTGCACCGTTCTTGTTAGATCAGGACAAGCAGTGTAACCCCACATCACCTACATGAAGCACCAGTGAGATTCATAAAGCACTTTGGGATCTGGCTAGAAAGTCTTCTACTTAGCCTTATTTAGGTTTTTTAAAACAAAGACTTCATTTAAGTTTTAAAAAGTGAATGATCTATCAATAGTTCTCACATCGTATCCCAAATCTCCACTTTCTTCTGTGGAGCTACGTGGAAGCAAACTTGTTGAGAGGCTAAAACCTAATACTATCGTGAAGAGATGGATAATGATTGGAAGGTGGGCTGGAATCCCGGTAATACATTGGTGGGAACACTTGCTTTTCTCTTTCAGCTTCTGCTTGGGGTTCAGGAAGTTTCCACTGATTGGACATATACAAACACAAATATCTTTAACAACCTTCTATTAAAAAATAACAGGGGCCGGCCTGGTGGTGTAGTGGTTAAATTCGGCACAATCCTGCCGGGGTTCCCGGGTTTGGATGCCAGACATGGATCAAATCATGCTGTGGCAGTGACCCACATACAAAATAGAGGAGAACTGGTACAAATGTTAGCTCAGGGCCAAACTTCCTCACCAAAAACAAAACAAAAAAACATACACACATCAGAGGCAGTTTGTCATGAGAGACAAGAGCCAAGAGTAGAGGTAAGCTTCTAGATTAGGATGTCACAGAAGGTAATGCATAGAACTCTAGTTCATGAGATTCTTCCCCACCTCACTCTCCCCTCACCGCCTCCTCCCACTCCCATCTTCAATGTTCTGTGCTCAATAAGATTAGGAACCACTGCATCCGTAAATGCACAGTCCTGGAGAGTCTCGACATACATGAGCATGTCAAAGGCTCTCCGAAGATTTGAGGTGAAGAAACCTATTTCTACCACAATTTCCTGTACTTACTTGATATAAGAGAGGTTTTTGTAACACTTATTATTAACCCACAAAATACAGTTTTAGAATTGCTGCACTAGTAGATAAGGATAGCTATCTGTGAGGTTTCTTGATAAGAAACTGTCAGAGGTTTGAAGATTTTGACTGGAAGTGGAGATATTCCAAATGAATTGAAAGAAATGTCCTTCTGGCCTGAACCAAAATTCAGGGTGTGGTAAGCCACCGCTGAGAACAGTGAACTAAACACAAGCAAGGCATTTACTATTATCTGTGTTTATTTACAACTTTAATTTCACACTAAACTTAAATATAATGCTATTTGTTGCTAGTTAGGATTACTGTAATTAGCTATTGTGATAAAATTTGAATTTTTATTAAAAAGTTGAGTGGAAAATAGTTTTTTCTCATTTGACAACCATGCTCTTGGAGAGCTAAATCACAGCATTGTCGGTCACTTGGTGGTGGTACATAGACTCACTGAAAAGCACCCTGAATGGTAATTCAGTGAATCTAATGAGCACATTACCCAGGAAAAACTGCGGTTTAGGAAGGTGGAGTGCCTAAACAAAAATCATAAATGAATTAGTGGCAGAACCAGTGCAGAAACTTTCTAGTTTAGAATACTTTTAATCACACCAAACATTATAACAATCGCCTAATTGTAACTTTTAATTGCCAACTGAATGAATTTGGAACCATTTAAGCCACAGTTACCAGATCTGTAAAATGGGCTAATCATAGCACCTGTCTCATAAGAGATTATATATACGTGGAGGGCTAGACCCACGTTTGGCACACGGTGGTAGCTATTGTTATAAGTACAATCGTGATAGTTACTTGAAATTCCACAGTACTTACTGAGCAACTCCACAAGGCCAGGGACTGTGTTAGGCTCTCTGGAATCAAGGGTTCATAAGACTAACTAGATTAATAAGATACAGCCCCTAAGTAATTTCTGCAAATAAACAGTTTTCAAGGCTTGATTTACAAACCCAAATCTAATGATCCCAGCTCCTCAGAGATGGGCATCAGGCATAGTTTTCAAATAGAGCAACACTACAGAAATGGGTCTGGAAACTAGACGTTCAAATTCTGGGGTCCAACAAAGATTTACAGCCAGCGAGTGAACAAACATTCACAGGCCTTGAGCAAGGTATGGAAAGAGGCTGGCAAGGAGCAAGGACACAAGAATGGAGAGGGGCCCAAACAGGAGGAGACGGTCTGAGGCCTGAGGAATGGCAACGGATGTGCACAGGTGAAGGCCATTACTGCCACTAACATGAAAGGCATGACTCAAACAAACAGAGTAAAAGGTAATTAAACACTGACGGGAGAGTAAAGCAGACTTTGACCCAGATATCCTGGTTCAGCCCTTAGCTGTGTGACCGAAGATGACATGAGCTTTCTGAAACCCAGCTTCCTCATCTGTGAACTCGGGTTTAGAACCACACAATTGCTGAGAGCCCTTTCAACTCTGAAAGGAAGGCATTCCTGCATTTCTCTTTACCTGACACCATTCCATTTCCAGGAGAATCACCCTCAGATCCGCTAAGTTGGAACTTGCTCACCATCGCCCAGGGATCTGGGTTTCAACCCAGTTTCCAACATCCTGAGCTCAGCCTCCTTCTGGCTGTGGAGTATGGGAGCCAGGGGAGAGGTGCAGGGGGAAGAGGCCAGTCCCTGGAGTCAGACAGACCTTGGTTTAAATTCCACCTCTGCCGTTTGCATGGTAGAGGGCCTGAGACATGGTAGAGGGTGCGCCACACAATTTAGCTTCCTTGTCCATAAAACAGCAGCACTCCCAGTGTGCACGCATGCCCACACACACAGTTGCACCCACTTGTAGAAAGAGGGGAACATATTTCCTCTTTCCCAGGGAGCCCCACTCCAAGGACCCTTATGATTGGTCCTCACCACATGTGGGGACGATTTTAGCATCAGCAAAGAAGTTTCATTTCAGCACAGGAGTGAAGAGCAAGGCTGTGGAGACATCAACTTGGGTTTGAATCTTGGCTCTGGCTTATGGGGATCTTTTAATCCAGTGCTTTTCATAGAAACACAATGCAAGTCACATGTTTAAGTTTAAATTTTCTAGTAGCCACATTTAAAATGTAAAAAGCAGCAGAAGAAATTAATTTTAATATTTTGCTTAACCCAATATGTTCAAAATATTATCATTTCAACCTGTAATTAATATAAAAGTTATGAATGAGACAGTTTCCTTTCTTTGTTTCACATGACAGCATACCTCATTTAAGGTCAATTGTCAGACATGGCCACCTGATTAGATGGCCCAGGCTCTTCCCCATCAAAGGAAGGTAGCAGGAGCAGCCATCTCCTGAGGCTGCGGTCCAAGGACTGGTCACAGGGGAAGTACGTGCAAGGTGTTTGGCACAGCCTTGGTGCATACGACGCCCGGGGACAACATCTGCTGTCAGTGCTGTGACTGTTCCTTGTGGTCCTCACCTTGTCTCACACAGTGCAGATCCCACATGACTCTGCTCCACCTTTTCCCAGCCCACCTGAACGGAGTCACCGCTGAGTGGCCCAGGTTAGGAGAAACAGGGCCGATTTTTCTGGATCCTGGTACCTTTTCAGTACTAGGCCTCCTGGCCTGCGCTACACCCAACACAGGTGTGATTCAGGGCAGCGATGTAGATTGTCGATTTTAGAACAGGGAGAGGTCAGACAGGTGAGGGACTGTTTGCAGCAGAGCAGGGAGAGGCGCAGCACATGGGATTGGTCTCTGGGATCTTAGGTACCAAGTCTTGACCTGAGATGGTGGGAAACTGTGCAGCAGCTCCAGATCCAAAATATCAGGCTGGGCACTGCCCTGGTTACAGATGATGTCTGCAGCTGGTTGGTCTGTTTCTCTCTCTCTTCTCTTTTCCTCCTTTTATCTTTTCTTCCTTCCACAAATACTGAATGAACGTTTACCCCACATGCTGCCAAGGCCTAGCATTATAAATAATAAATAACACTGATGAGTTCTCAGGATGTGCCCAGCCCTGTGCTAAACAATTTGTGTTCCTTCTCTCATTTAAGTCCACGACCAACCCAGGGCTGTAGGTACCGCTATTATTCCCATTGTTCATATGAGGATATCAGAGGAACAGAGAGGTTAAGTACCTTGCCCAAGGTCTTATAGCCAGGGTTTTCATCTAGCCTATATGGCTTCAGAGAGGAAGGCACAGTTCTTGCCCTCAGTGAGTGGATACTAGGAAAGCAACAAGGGGAGAAACTAGCTCTGCTGGGGAAGTCAAGAAAGGCTTCCCAGAGGAGGTGACAGTCTGTCTGGGGCTTGAAGGATGAATAGGAGTATTCTGATGGGCAAGGCAGGGAGGGTGTCCAAGGAAGTGGGAGCAGGAGAAGCAAAAGTAAAAAAAAATGTGAATTACATAGTTTACCTTCCTTGTCCTTCCCAGCCTTCCAGCTGTCTCCTCTATAAACTAAATAGTATTTGTTGTTCCCAACCCACCCAGGAACCTCAGAAGTGGGGGAAGTAACTTGAGAGAGGAAAAAGACATCTATTCTGGGCAAAAGAGGAGGCAAGAACAGGAACTTTGGAGATATTCTGGAGGGAAGTGAAGGGAATTTTTACCTGGGAACATTTATTTTATTTGGAAACCGGAAATCTCAACCCATTGAGGGTTGAGATGTGGGAATGTGATCAGGGATTTGAAAGAGGCAAATACTATG